TACCTAGAAGTCTAGTGCAAGAAGAGTGTAGATCCATGGGATGTGAGTAGTCACTAGCCCATTTGGGAGCAGGGTGTACTTTACCCAAGGCAGGTGAATGCTTCTCAGCCCTCAGTTGGAGTGAAGGATTTACTGCGCCATTTCTAGTGGGCTGGTAGGATTCCAGAAGAGGCCTCTTTAGTCCTGCAACTATATGCTGGTTACACAGCTCAGAAGTCCACTGCATATCAGTCTCCCTAGCCCCCGTACCTTAAGTAAAGGGAATGGCCTTATAGGTAAATGATACCCAGAAATAGGTCAGACACCAGAATAGTACACACACCGGAATACTACACACATCTTCTCCTGAGGACCATGGTAGCATGACAGTTAGATCATTTTCATGGTCATCCACACATATGAATAGTAATTTGATCCATACAATTTTCAGCTATACTAAAATTGCTGGCTTACCTATACTACCTACAGTAAAATGGCCAAAAGCAAAGCGAATTTGTGAATAACCAGCTGAAGACGTGTATATTGTCACGAATTCTGGTACCATGAGATCTTTTTTGATTGGCTGAATTCAAAGTATTAATTTAGCGGGATTTTTTGCTGTGGCAATGGGATAAATAATTCAAGTATGCATGACATCCATGAATGGAAGTAGAATAACACCAGTGCAGCTCAAGTCTACCACCGGACCCAATTATATTAGTTTAAGTTTGGCCCCAAGATAATAAGTTGGCACCACAAAATCTATTAGGAGAGATTTCATGGAGTAGAGAAATGATACACACTGTGTATATTGGAGTTTTATGATAAACAGGCCAAGAGTTCAGAAATCCTTCCATCTTTAAAAAACACTTCAAATTCTGATTTGTTGCATCCTAAATTAACCCAATGCATTATTTTGTAAAAATTTCTGTACAGTGTAATTATTCAGCATAAATTAAACACAGTTGGTAAAATTGTATCCCAGGGATGATCAATACATAAGGTATGAATCAGCCAAAGTTCTCACTGATTTCACTAGGAAAGTTGAACATCTCCTGAACTGTCCCATGAAAATATATATGGAACAAAGTGTCAGGCTTTGGTTTAGTTGCACCCTAAGTATAGTATGGCCCTCTTTCCTTCTTTCCAGCAGAGGACTGTACCAGAACGGCTGTTTTTACAAAACAGGCTTTATACAAAAGCTGAAAGCTATTGCTTCAGTAGATTTAAACTCTGTTGAATAACAAGGCATGTAGTAAATTAAATAAATATTATTCAATCACTGAGAACTGTCCACAAATGATGGCCATTTGTTTTCTACAAGTGGGATGAAAATTCCTGCAATGACTCCCAAAGCTGGATGCATACACAAATTCACTGCATGAATGTTAGGCAAACAGAATTCTGGATATAACACAGGGAACAGTTTACATGGCCGATCTTTAAAGAACTACCAAATTAGGTATTTAAAATATTTCTTGAGTAGTACTTTATCAGAAAAAAATGGTAGATTATAATGCAGCCAACAAATCCTAGAGTAAGGAATATTCTCTTTTGTGAACCAAACAGTTATGCGAGTAACATTGGGCAACACATTCAGAAGAAACTAATGAAATAAATGCATTTATTTTGGATGTACATCTGTGTTACAAACCAAAGTGTATGTCGGAATGGCACTCTTCCGGATCCAAGGAAGACTACACTGGTGTACATTACTTAAAAAGGCATTTAGGGCAGAACAGCTAGGAATTTCTCGCTACTCATTAAATAGTCTGGAAGATTCCCCTTCCCCATTGAAATGGATGGAAGTTGCACAGGAGACAGTCCTACTGTGCCCATAGTGTGCACAGAGGGGAAAAAGTGGATACAATGGCACTCAAGATTTATAATTCAACCTGCAGCACACACCTGCTTGATGTAAGGAACACAGCATATTTTTTGGGAAAGGGTGCAGTGTGATACTGCAATATGATATGGATCCCAAATTACCTCTTGCCACTGCAGCAAGAAACCAGGGGTTAAACAGAGATCCATTCTTGGGATCCTGTACTTGCTCTTCTATTAACCACAGGATCTGGCCTTTGGATTGCATTTCAGTCAGCCACTAAGAGAGCACTTTGGGCCACAACATAGACTTCAGTGTGCTGAACACACTGTACTCTGATGGTTCTCTATGTAAGTATGACTATGCCAGTATAAATAGTAATATTAAAACTTCAGAATCCTTTCCACTCTTGACTTAAAAGCCTCCTGGTGGAATATTTATTCCCACTAAATAGGCAATTATATCGCTTCATCAGATGTGCTCATGCCTGGATGCGTCTCCATGGTACTTACAGGGGAGTGTATTCGGAACCCAGGTGTGTAGAGAACTCTCTTACATTCTTTGTGTACTATGATAGAAGTGACAACAGTCTGAGAGACTTGCAATCTGATGTTGTGTCTTTTGTTAAGTCTCTCAGTATGTGCCTCCCACTCACACGGAATATATTTTGTGGAGTATCATTCCAGTGGCCAAGATCCAATGGAGCAATTTTTTAAAATGGAAGCATTTCCGCCAGTGGAATGTGACTTTCTTGCCTCCCTTGTCCCACTGAGCCTGAAATGTCCCTCCAAACGCTGGTCCTCCCTAGGAGATACATTTCAGGGGGCATTCCAGGTAGCAGGAGGGGGAAGTAAGGGAGTCATGCCTCATGGGCAGAAATCCTTCTGTCCATGGAAATGTGCTGTTAGATCCAAGCCACTGTCAGCAAAATGGTATTATCTGAAATGGCTTTTAGCATTTTATGTTACAGTTTTTTCTACGGCATCCTAGAGTATAAAATTACATTTACTTCACTAGAGTGTGTCGCCATGATCCAAAGAGCTCCATGTATGCCTAAAGCATTTTTGCATGTCCATGGATGCACTGCCACATCAAACGTTACTCTAACAGGACAGGATCCCTTTCCCAGGCTGAGGCTGTGGTTGGGAACAGAGGTCCCCAAAAGACCTGATGCATGCACAGTCCTTTGGAATGCAATTTTAAATCTGAACATAGCCTGAGGATTATGGCCTTGGATGCTAACCTTTTCAAATAGTTCCAAGAGATTGCCTTACTAAGGAGACTTCAATCACGTTATGGGGCTATTATCACTGCATGGGTAAGGTAATTCATTAGCCAAGCATGTTTTTCACACTATGGCACTGTACGTCTCTAATCACTCTGAACCAAAGAACAGCCCTTCCTGAAATGTCCCCATTATTTCCCCGTTGCTGATGAGCCAACTGGTGCCGTCATCGTCTTCCCAAACCAATTTGCACGTTGTTTTGCCAAAACTCAAGCATCTCCTCTGGAAGCCTTATCATACACACTCACTACTCGCCTTGCCCTCAAAATTATTGCGTAATGTTAATACATGTAAAGACAAAGAAAGGACAAACGTGTTCAAAAAAACAGAGAAGTAGGGGGAGGGGGCTGAATGTGCAGACAAGGCAATTTAATTCAACCATCCAAGCCCTACCCGAGCATGAAGATTTATTTTTAATATTGCAGAGTAAGTTTCCCCAACAGTCAGTATTTGTCCCTGAAAAAGGTTAAACCTTAAAACACCTGCTTCCAAAAAACAAAAGAACAAAACAAAAAAGGAGAGGAAAATAAAACCAAAACAAAAACCCAAAAGAAACAAACTAAGCCAATGGGCTTAAAAATTAGAGGCATAGCCTTTTTCTCTATTTTCTATATTTATATGAAAATAATTCATGCTTCATGCTAAATACATTATTTACCTTACAAGAACTTCTGTTATCTTTGAATTAAAAAAGGGTTTTGTTTTATACTCCCATGTCCTCCCAGAAAGGAATCCATGCAAATGTGGATCTGAATTTTCTGCTGGCTACATTGGTTAAAACTGGAAATATATCATCATTTTTGCACAGATGAATCCTCAATGACATTAACTGGGTATGCCATTCTGAGGGCACTGTAAAGGAGCTCTATGTAATAATAATCACTATATTTTTTGCCCAAACACATCAATTTTTTTCAAAAAAAAAAAAGGTAATATAATACTAATGGCAGGTTTTGTAGCATGTCTATTTCCCCTTCTAGCATGATCAAATCTTTTTGACCTACAGAAAAGGTTTCCTCATTTTGATCCTCCTTATATATCTACTCATAATTTTTCTTTAGACTTGATTGCTTTTCACTCAGGCAGTTAAGAACTCATAGCTTGTCTTCCCATAATATTTTTGCAGGCAGTGCCAATCTTCAGGCTTATGGCTTTTTAAAAAAACATTCGTTTAATTTAAATATAGAAGACAATTAATTGATTAAACAATATCACTAATCTCCCCCCATCCCCTTGCTCTTTATTTCACTGAAACTCATTGCATACACAGTTCAGTTTTCCACAATTTTAAGTTATTAATTCTTCACATTATGAGCCATATACAGTACATGAAGCACTAGTAGTTCATTACTGTATGAGCAGCTGTCTCCAGTGGCTATCCCAAGATTTTATGGCACAACAGCAAGCAAATGCCACTCTAAGATACTTGGTTTTGAGGACAATGTGCGCCTCTTACTTTCCCCAAATCTCTAGTCACATTCACATAGAAACCCGGTCATAAGGCCTTTTAAAAAAAAATTCTAAAAGCCTGGCCTGAATGATTACCAAATTAACAAATTTCTTCTAGGTGTATTTTCCAAGTGCCAAATTTTATTCCTCTCTCATATTAATTGGTGATGTCACGGCGTATTCAACCATGCATTTCTGACAAAGCTGGAGAAAGCAATGGCAAATTTTGGCTTTTGTTATTTTGTCTTCATGTAATGAAAAGCTTTTGTAAAATTAGTTGAGTATCAGTATGAGTTCTATGGCTTCAATCTCCTTTAAAAAATAAAAATCTTAAGGGTTCAAAAAAAGAAAAGAAAGAAAACAAAAACAAAAACAAAAAAGGAGAAAAAGGAAAAAAAAACCTGAACAAAGAAAATATTTGTTGATATTGCCACAAATCATTAGAATTCACCTGACGTGCTGAAACGAAATTGTTTTATAAGTTCAATCAATGGATTTGTTCTCATTTTTTGTGGTGTCCTTTTGCTCTTTCTGCCCCTTTGCCGTCCGATTGGTGATGTTATTCAAACAAGACCGAATCCCTGCCAAATGCAGGAGCGATCCAGCTGCTTCCTTCATCTCCTCATCGTCACTCTCTGGGGGTTTCTCTGTACGTCTCTTTTTAAGAGGCAGTGTGTCACTTGGTACTTTTTTTGCCTTCAGTAAATGCTGCCGTTTCTTGTGCTGAGACGCGTACCCGCTGTCAGCTAAAGAATCCTTGGTCTCTTTCCGGCTTTGCCTTTTGTCCTCCTCCTCTGCTTCACTATGGCTCTCGTGGCTGTGGGAGCTGACTTCGCTGCCCTCACTACCATCCCGGCTACCTTTCGTAACAAATTCGTAATGGTCGTCCGCAGAGGAAGAGGAAATTGAGTCACTAGCAGGCGATGTGCTCCTGGGGTTGGAAGATTTGGCACTGCTATAGTTGTGATCCTCCTTTGGGTCACCACTAACCACTGGAGAGCCACAGGACTGTTCACTCTCTGTCCGCATCCGGCAGTTTACTATTCCATTCCTGAAAAGGGGGAAAGAAACAAAAGATGGTACATACTTTATAAATCGTTTGCTATATAGATGCCCCCCCGAACTGCAACAAGATTATTTTAAAACCCCCCCCCCCATAAAACAAACAAGTGCAAAGTGCCACTTAGGGCGCTTATAATATGTTTTCTCTAGTCCTCCTGTAAGTCAGTCTTCCTGGAATCAGCCACAGTTCCTTGGTCTGGGAACAGGGAAATCAGAACACAGTTTGTGAGAGCAGCAGTTGGCTACGCTATCTTTCTGGCCCTAAAACAACTATAATTTTAATCAAGATTGGTAAATAAATGCGTATTCTTAGGGTAACGAACTTTAACTGGTACATTCATCCATTAAGGTTTAAGTCGAGATAGCAGGAACAGATGGCACTGGTAACAGAACTGTACATATTATTCTTCAAAATCATTTTGGGCTATGTTATTACCATAACAGGAAATGAAAAAAACAAAAAGATTAATGTGGCTTTGTTTTTTAACAACTTGTGGTCGCTTTTGGTTATTACAACTGTAAATTCTTACATTTTCCATTAAAAGTTTTAAACATTTAATCAACTCATTGGCTAAAATTTAGGTCAATTTAATAACGTTTTAAAAAAATGGTTGACAGCTATAATGAAAACATGTGGCTTATTTAATTTTCCATAAGCCTTCAGGCATCTTCAGAACCATTGAAGAACACTATAAATCACAAACTGGTGAAGCTAAATATTTTGACTGAGAGATTATTTAGTCCCACTGAAGTCTACTGAATGCCTACCGAAGCCCACATAAATCAATCAACTGCTATTTAGCTGGGATCCAGATCAAGCTTTAAGACACATTTTCAAACAAGAACAGCAATCAGATATTTCCTGGCATAGCACTCTGCAACAAGCGCCTTAAAAGGGGAACTGGCTTCATAAGCCAATACGGTAATCAGAAAATGCACACCATGGGCCCTTTATACAATACACCATATGTCACCCCTTATATTAGCCATACAACAAGTTGGATTCTGTCAATCATTTCTATACACTGATTCCGCTGCACATGGTAGATCTCCAGCTACCCTCTCAATACAGTTCCTGGTGGTCTCCTGTCAGTAGGCATTCTAGGCTGCAGCAGGAGGGGAAGAAATCATGTCCTGCTGGCAGAAATCCTTGAGCCAGGGGAAAGTTTCAAGATCCAAGGCACTGCTTTCCCTCATGCATTGTTGCCAGAGGCACTGCCTTTACTCTCGGATAGCCCCCAACAGCAGGGGCACCACACTAATTACCTGAGCCAAAGTCCCCAAAAGTCAAGCAGAGATATGCTTATGGAATGACAATGGCAGTTCCACCAGGTAAAACATCTACATTTCTAAAGGCTATTCAGAGGCCACCTGGCAAATAGTCCTTTTATCTCCAGTATCTCACCCAGCCCTTTTGTGTGGCCCCATGTCTATGTGTGAATTCTTTGTCCTTCCTTGCTCCATCCCTCAGGATACTGAGATAAACTGATCAAACACTCAAATTATTAACAATCCTTCCTGACGCTAATCAGGAACCCATCTCCCATCTTTTGTCTGTATCTGGGAACCTATTCAACTGCCTTGGCAGAACCATCAATAGTCAAAAAATCCATTCAAGTAGTACAGTCATCCAGCACCAGGCCATTATTAAGCCTGACTCTGCCCCTCTGGAACGTCATTGGTTACATCTAGGCCTTGCCCATCCTGATGCCACACACCCCGGGACTCATCACTGGTCCAGGTAATCTACTGTTCTCACCTGAGTCCAGCCCCGAAGGCCTTCCATTGGTCTGCATTGTTTTCCAATGTCTATAACTGTCCAGGCACATGACGTCAGACTGTGTGCCTCTGCCCTGATGCCAACTGGCAGTCCACCCCTAAACCTCTGGGATTAGGCCATAATCCCTTCTTCATGGACCTCTGCATGTCTGGACAGGTAGTATCACCCCATAACTGACCCCTCTTTCAGCTATCAATTACCTCTGCTTTCTTAGTTCTGTATTATGTGTGTGAATGTTTGATTTTATGTTTGTATGTGTGATAATCCTTTAGTAAAAGAAATCACTGCTTTGTAAGATCTAGTACCAGCATCTATTTCTGGAATTTGGATAAGTGGGACTCTAGTATACACAGGTCTGATCCTATATTTAATGCCTATTGCCATTTAATACTCATAATTCCCCACATTTATTATCAAATTAAGGCAATTTGGCTAACAGCATGTATGTGTGGTACATTTTTTTGAATACACCGCTTTGAAAATTCAGCCAACCCAAACCCTTGACATGAAGAACTTCCCACTCTATTAAAGGGAAATGCTCTGTCTGTGCCATAGGATGCGGGCTTTTGGGAATAGTTGATGTGGGCTTTTGGGAATAGTTACAGGTCACCATCTTGATTTGACTAAATTGATAACATCTTTGAGCACTTTATCATTGTTTATAATGGTTGTTTTTATGTGTGATTTTATTGTTTTACTGGTACATGCTGCCCTTATTTGTAAGCCGCCCTGAGCCCATCCGCGGGGAGGGCGGGATATAAATGTAATGCTAAATAAATAAAATAGGAAATCCCATGTGTATATTCCCACTGCTTACAAGAGAGCAGGGACTCCCTGGGCAAATTATCTAAATGTCTCATCTCCAGAAGCATTTTAGTAAAGAGTGTAAATAGTTTACTGGACAATTACTGCATCTCAAAATTCACCTATACACAGCATCAGCAGAATATCACTACTTTTATGCAGAAGCATTAACAGAGGGCATCTTTTTTACACAGTGTAAAACACAGTGTAAATGTGTATTCATTATATTGTATTTTTCCTACACAGTAAGTGAAAGGAAACCTATGGATCCACCCTGTTAGGTGTCATTTTGTGGTCATTTGCTAAGTAGAACTATTTATTTATTTCATTCAGTTTATATCCCACCCAACCCTGCAAGTGGGCTTATAGATTCTAGCTACATAAGCACTGTAACATCCTAGAATTCATCAGTCTGCAATATTCTTAAACTATCATTCATTTTATCCAGAAAACATTAATGTTGGACCATCTTTTGTGTACTGGTACAACACCCTGGGGCTTCTAGCTGCTGTAGAAGAAAATACTAATACAAAATAATTGTTAAGGATCTGTTGATGATTCACTTTGATTCAAGACGGTGTTCATCACTGAGGTTCCTGGAAGAATATGTTCTGTTAAACCAATTTTATAAAGCTAGTGATTTACAAGTGTCCTCAATTCCTGCCACACTTGATGATTCTCAGGGTGTACTAAACCAGATGCCTAATCATGGAAGAGATAAAAATGCAAGGCATTTCAATGACACTTGAGAAACCACTCCAAGCCTTAATATCTTATCACTGAAACTGTCCTTCAAAACCAGTAGAATAGTTGCACTAGGCTACTACAGAACTGACCTACCATTCTTGAATTTGGCATCAGGCATTACCAAGGACTACTAACAATCCAAGAGACAGAGAGAGGCATCCAGTGATGGAGGGAGTTCAGGTGAACCAGCCATCTAGCAGCTGTACAGCCAGGGGTGTGCAGGGAGACAGTGCTGAGCATCATTATCTGAGCCCTAGCTGCGGCATGGCATGGGGGACAGGAGCAATGTTCCCTCTAAGCTGTGGAGTCTGGTGAGCAAAAATTCTACTCTGTGAGCTACTGGCATGAAATTTGTGAGTGAGCGATTTGGCTACTGCATAAATTAGTTGGCCCTGGAGTCATCCTTCTTGAGCAAAGACAAAAATCTGTGAGCTGGAGGCTGAAAAACTGTGAGCTAGCTCACACCGACTCAGCTTAGAGGGAACACTGGACAGGAGTGATACTCAGGATCTCTCAGCACAGAAATTACATGCAGGCAATGAGGATCATTACATGGCTGCATCGCTGTGCTGAGTTTTGAGCCGGGGGGGGGGGCTACCCATAATCAAGCAGCCCTCACGGGTAGCTTTGGTTGACCTGAAGAAGGTGGGGTGGGGAGTTAATTGGGTTACCAAGGTGAGCGATGCTGCAAATAAGTTGTAATGAAACCCAGCTTAACCCATGACTTGCGCCTCATGTCTTCATTCCAAGGTATGGGGGCAAAGGATCTCAGACAGCCGTTTGGGGGAAAGATTGTTCCTTACCAAAGACTGTCAGTCAAGATAGACCATACTGGGATAGATGGACCAATCTGGTTCAGAACAACACAATTTCTTTTTTAATTTACTAAAACATTTAGTTTTGATTGTTTTTATGATACTACTGGTGTAATCCCTTGCCTTTGTAATTTACGGTTTCTGTAATTTACAAATTATTTTTAATTTAAACTTCATGTGAGAGATATAATCATAGAAAAAGAAAATGAACGAGAAATCAATCTGAAAGTTTACATAGAATCCATTTAATTAATCCTATCCTTCAAAACCTTTTCCCATTTACAAGCATCTGAATCCTTTGAAAAGCCACGTGTAAAGAAACCAAAGAAATCCTTCACTATCCCCAACCCTTCTTCGGGCTATTTTTTTCTTCCAAACCTTAACAAAGACAAGTCTAGCAGCAGTTATCATATCCTACACTACTTGCTTATCTCACAGAAAAGAGATTACACAGTTGAGAGGAAAAATCTCTGGGATATGTGGACTCAACATGCCTATGCCTGTCAGTAATATTTATTTTAAAACACTTCTGTGCTGCCTTTCCACCCAAATTGGGTCCCCTAAGACAGTGAACTTCAAACCATTACAACATTTAAGACATTAAAATCAAACGTACAATAGAGTATATATAAAATATTTAAACAATTCAATAAAAACATAAATATATAAACATAAGTAACAAATACAATCAGGGAGGATGGCCAATAAGAGTTACTGGGGGAATGCAAAACTGGTGGAAGACTACAATAGAGAGAGGGAGACAGATGAATCTCCCTGGGGAGGTAGTTCCAAAGTTTTGGTGATGACCATGAAGGTCCTGTCTCAGGTTGTGACCTGTCCCAC